GATATTTCTCAAAGCAACCGTTTAAATTTCTCCTCATGCTGTCCACCCTTAGAACGGAGGAGGCTAATCATAATCTATCGTATCGACAATCATATCAATGGGTGCTACAGCTACAGAATCAACTTGACTCAAATGAGACGGCCCGACGCAGACTATTCGATGTTTACTTTTGGTTACAAATATACATTCCAAACCCTTCAAACGAATCCTAACAAAAACCAATAGCAGAACACATATCGCACTATAAAAAATTAATGGATAGCCTTCATCTTCTCGATCTGTGAGATTTTTCCTTTTTTTTTTTCTAACAATATAGTTTCGGGTACAATCATGCGGGCACCTTCATGTTACCTTACTGCAAATTTTTCCTTTCCCTTTTCCGCTACTTTATACTTAAACAGTTAAATTTATATTAACTACATTCACTTGAAGGATTCGCACATATGTCCCCTCTTTTCTTTCATTTTTTCCTCATCGTTCCATTCTTAAAGAGCCTTAATCATCTCCTAAACCGCCCTATTCCCACTGATTGTCCTTTTATCACTCCCCTTTGATCCCTTTTTCCTTTATATATATATATATATATATATATATATAAAGCGAGAGAGAAAGAGACGCGGCTGTCGCTGGCGTAGCAGAAAAGCACGTTTTACAGCTGTGCTGAGGAACGCCCCGACAAGATCTAAATGAGATAGGCAGATAGGTGGCAATGGGGTTTTCGAGAAGGGGAGAGAAGACTGCTAGTTGGTGCAGCGGGGCAGTGGCAGCTGTCGAGTTGAAATTGCCCCGAAATGAAAAAGTGAGAGATAAACGAAGCAATGCCGTTCACCTCTCCGCTGGCGCCAACACGAAACACGTTAGTGGCAGTAGCGAAGTGAACGAAAGCACAATATAGCAGCAAAGAGGTAAGGAGCAGCAGGAAAAGGAGCAGATGATAAGGAAATGAATGAAAAGAATATGGCAGGTACAGGTGCGGAGACGGCAGAGGCAGGACCAGTGACGGCGCTAACAGTTGCCTGAGAACGGCGCAGGGCTCAAAGCAACTCTCAAATCGGCCTCTTTAAGAAGAACCGACAAGACATATTTATGTATGAATGAACCCCAGAGAGGACGACGAAGAATCAACGAGCAAAGCTGCAGGCCAGCCGGCAAGCCAGCCAGTTAGGCCAGACTACCATCAACGAGGCGAATGAAAGGCTTCGTAGGCTCTTCCCTACTGCTTCGTCTGCTCGTCTGCAGGAGAGCTCCGTCGAGACGTTAACGTAGAGCAACTAATAGTGCTGCTATGCTTCAGTTCTTTATTGCGCTATAGCAATTGTTACCTAAGGCAGTTGTTGCTGCCGCGGCGGCGGCGGCGATGGCGGATGTATCGTGAAGCACTACGCTACAATGATGATCACTCATGCACACGTCTCTAAATACTTCCGTGCCGTTGCCGCGCCTTAAACCTCACTGCGTCTGCATCAGTCGACCGACGTGGGAATTTTCCGGATAAAAGAGTAGGTTCATGTCGGTGCTCAACAATTCGTTGATCGTCGCTTCTCGTTAGGGGGGGGACCAGCTATTTAGGGACTATTTAACTGAAGGACGTTTGTACTAGAAAACTGTCTCTTTCTTTCCGCGCTGTTGCGGCACGCTTACAAAGCAACAATATTACCAGCAGAGCAAGCGGAGTTACTTTTTGGGTGTCAAGTCGGTAAAGCCATGTAGAAGTTACTTTGATAATTCTTACCATTATTGTATCTCATGGGCAAATGTTTTTTATTCTACATATATATGTATATTCAGTGAGCGTCGATGCACAGGAGTTTGAATGTATCTCGAACAAATAATAAGTTAATAATACTTTGTGGAGTTTAATTGATTCGGGAAAGGTTGTTGGGGCGTCAGTTACCTACCTTTTCATGAAAATGGTTGACAGGCGCCTTTTCTTTTTTTTGAGTACGACGCTACCTTGTAAAGGTACATAATATTTGAAAATGAAACGTCTAAAATTAGGTATCCAAATCACAGCAACATGTAGAGTTGTAGTTGTTCTCTAAGAAAATTTTTCTCGCATTAACGAACAACGTACTTATATTAAACTGCTATGGTTTTAACAGCTATCCTACCTTTAGAGAGAATATTCAGCCGATATCACACAATACTGTTTGTCTAATTGGTTAGTGGAAGCTCTCTTCATTCCAAGTGTTTTTTTCCGTAGGTTGCATGGGTTTTTCTTATCTCGGATTTTTGTTAACTTTGAAGACAAACGGATGCATATTTGGATAAGATCTTATATGGTTTATCCCTTAAATCCTACTTCTTCTCAGATGTCCAAAAGTCACTTCTTTTTTATTCTTATTTAATTGGTATAGGTATCCTTTCATTAAAGCCTACAAACGAAAGCCGGCTTGAACGATTAAAGCGTCCAAATTAGTTAACGTTGCATTTATGTTCAATCATCTTATCTTTAATAAAATGTTCTTACGCATGAAGGTAACCTCATGTTGTTGACATCTTCAGCATAGCACGATGCAGAACGATTATCATTATCATCAGTGTGTCAGGTCAGTCTCGTCATGCACCCTTGCACGCCACTATGAAGCAGTGCATTTGTTTCGATGATGTGCTAACACGATCTAATCCTAGCAACCAAGCAATGCTAGCTAGTTCAAGAGATTCTCGTTACTGAGGCGTGGCGTTCCTGCGATTTCATGGGGGTTTCCCTCTCTTAAAGAGTACGCGGGAATGTGTGGTAGCCTGACGCTTGAGGAATAGCGCAGCGCAAAGCTGGATTATCGTAATGACACCCCACCGTGGTGGCTGTTCGTCCACTATCTCATTATAATAACATTACGATCAAGCCGCATCAGGTTAGTGCATCACACGCAGCCCTCCTCAGTACTGATGGGGTGCTACAAAGCGTACCAACTATACCGTATCCGTCTGCTCTCTGATCGGTACCATCCACCAACTTCATGAAGCCCCAGGAAAATGCGGCCTTAACTTGGGAAGGGAACACTTTAAACTTTCGAGAACTGCAGCAAGCGCACGGACGGAGCATGAAAAAGGACACGGTCTTAGGGGAAGACTTTTCCATTTCACAGACGTTCGAAAAGGTGCTAAATTTTACCTATATCGTATACGTATTCGCTAAATTATTCAGTTAGTATATGAGCTGAAAACAAACATTATGGGATATTGTTAATCCAGTTCACTGTTACAGGTTTTGAACTGCGCAATCTTCGAACGTACCTAACCCACCGAAATTGTTTGTTTCATTAGTTAATCATTCTGTCAAGACGTCGGCCACCTGTCATGTATGAAATCTCGCCAACAATATCTACATAATTTTCGAAGTATTCAGAATTAAGTAGGTCTTTAAACGTACTAGATCGGCAACGAGGAAAACGAAAATCGTACTTTTGCTTCAGCAATGACCGTTTACTGCGGTGACAATATCTCGGTGCACTTTCATGATGGAAAAATTAAATATAATAAATAAATCTAAACTCGCTGTGGACCAGATATTTGCGTGTTATTGCTAAGTGGCAAAAATTAGTTTACACCAAAGGAATGGTAGAAATTGAATAACCAAGGAAAACTAACTTTACGATATGCGGACCTGTGTTTTCTAGTATTCCGTAGCTCGGTCTCTTTCCCTTTGAAGTGTTCATATCTAAGCTGTCGCCTTTATGACGTCGTCAGTTACAGCGTTCATTAGGTGGATTATCATTAGAACACTTGTTATTTAAAAACTACGCCTTTTTGCCTGTTGCCGTCATAACAAAAGATTCCAGCGTGCACGAGAGCTTAAAGAGTACGGCTTGCACACTCGTCAGCCGTCAACGTCATTAAATCACGTCGCATATTCGTGCATTGAGTCGAGCCAAGTGAAGTTGAAGTACTTCAGCTCGTGCGCTTCTCAGCTTTCGTTCTTCAAAACGAAGCCTTCGCTTCGGCTTCGGCTTCGTTTTGAAGAACGAAAGCTGGAACACGAAATACACCATGTATAAGAGGAGAATGAGAACGCTGTCGTCTCACTTAACTAACATTCAGCACGACTCGCGTGCTGCCGGCATCACGTTAACAAAGAGCTTCTCCCTCGAAGAGCCGGGGGGGCGTTATTATCATTTTAATAGCGCGGGGCGCCAATGTCGGATTAAAGCTTCTAGTTTGCGTACAGCGGAAGCACTCGTATTCGAATACATGCCAAAAGTACCACCCTTGTGTGTAGGAACACCTCACTGGGGAGCAAAGAGCACAAAGTGCATGTTTGTTGTCCTGTGGGAATCCCCGGGTGTGAAAAAGTGACGGGTGATTAATGCCACTACCTACCTTGCTCCATCCAAAAGATATCCTACACGCCAGAGCTTTTTGGAGTGGTTAATGGTTGAAAATTATCCTTGAAACGGCGCAGAGTTTGTCTTCTGAAGCAAGTTATCGAAACAACAAATCAACATGTTGAAACTTTCCTACTATCAATTAGTACGAATAGCTTGTGACAAGGTTCGAAAAAGTATCCTTGGAAGAACCTTTTTATAGAATGAATTAGCTGACATAAGGCTCATACGCCTCAAGGCTAATGTTGAACAATAGACACGGTAATGTGAAGAGTCCCTTATACTTCAGAAGCTAATTGGATGTTAATTTAATGTCTGAAACCCGCTAAACACTGTATGTTCTTGCTTGAAGTTGACAAGTGGCAGGCAAAATTGCCTTTTCGACTGTCGAGGACACCAGGGACCAATTTCGCTGAGCATTGCATCTCAAACGCGGCTTTGAGTACCGAAGTTTTCAGACTACGCGTAAACATCTCGCAATATTCGTCCCTTCCCAAGTAAATGCAGTTAGACAATGTGGGATAGCGGTAGCGTGTTAAGAATGGCTAAAAAATGTTGATTTTTACTATGATTTGCATTATGCTAACACGGCAAACAATAGATCATTGTTGTAATTATTGCTAACAAGTAGAATGCACCTATCGTTTATTACTCACAACGAATGGCTATAAATCATTTTCAGATATTTACTCTATGCGACAATCGCACCATATAAATTTGTTGTAATACTTTATGCATAACCGCTGCTATTAAACATTGCCTTATATTATAGAGGCCTTTGCACACGCGCACCTCCTCCTACATATGAGAACAAATTGTCCAGAAGCAATTTATAAATTGTTCGATTACGTTGTATTATGTTGTATAACGGCGCAAGCGGTTTACTAAACATATCGCTTTCTCTTAGGTACCGACAGGACTATGTAGGTTTAGCAAAGCTTTTCTCGAATTCGATCCTTTATTTTTACGGTACGAAAGAAAGTATCGTTGTACACAATAAATGAGCCTTTAGCTAAAATCAATGATCGGAGTGGTACTTGTCTCGAAAATGTGTTTTTCCAGATTCGACACAATCGTCAGTAGTTGCCGGTCGCTGCATTCAGTCGGGCAGGCGTTCAAACCAGCCCGTTGGCCGCTACGATGCATTTTCACTGCCCAGCTGTCATCAGGCAATCCTTCCATTATAATTACCATGTCGGTTAAACGGCCCACGCTAAAAACAAACGATCAGCAGAACCTATTTCAGATAAATCAGATTTTACTACTAGAAGAAATCGTACCCCTAATATAGCTATAATGTATCTCTAATATAGTACACAGTCGTTTGACACTGCTCCCTGCTAAATTGGAATGAACTTAACCAAGGACGATGGCCGTCCACAGAGTATTCAACACGTAAACTGACCTGGCTATGTTAAGCTAGCCCTAAATGTCCAGCATTCATCATAATTTATAGGACTCACTTTCCGAACGATCGAGGTCTTGCTCCAAGGTAGCAGAAGAAGCGGTGAATACACTTTTCGTCGTCAATCTTTGCTATCCAGCGAAAGAGATCTTCGCTGATCTTCACACCGCCTAGAAGAGCCCGACGAGCCTTACAAACGTAAAAGTGTATCCATTATTGGCATAACTGTAAGCCATTTTATCTAAAATTAACATTCATAGTCAACCCTAGGCAAACATTTGTTCGAATACATAAGAACCTCTCGATCTGCTATTCTGAAGCGATGTGGGAAATCAGACAGCCGAGCAATGACTTTTGTCAATTTCCAGGCTGCTTCTTATTATACTAGCTTCATTGTGACAGAATACTCAGTTCGGTTGTCTCTGCACTTTCTACAAAAGGTACAAATTTTTTTCCGATAAGATAATATTGTAAGGGTTAGAAAAATGATGATCGGAAAAGCAAGGTCGAAGTTATCAGCTGAATGAGGCTGCGTAGTTAAACTCCGACGATATAACGAGTTATTAACGATATATGAAGCCGAGCATTGTCATGGTAGGCTGTGACTTGTCGGCCATTGTCAGGCGCTTTTCTTCGGATGCATTGCCTTAGATGGTTGAGCTATTGAATCATTGCGCTTAACTGAAATAAGGGCTTGGTTGTTTGAGGCACGCTTATGGGAGAGTGGCCTATGCGATCTTGCAAGGTACTCTTTGTGGGGTTTGGCTCTTGTTTAAAGACCACTATCAGTTTGACCATTAGCTGCTCTAAGTGCCATTGTTATAAATGGTCTAGTTTTCATCATCCGTAACTATTTTTGAGCTAGGGGGCGGAACGATTTAGGGGGCTAATGCGCAAGTCTTTGAGTGCCTTATTGTAGTAACCATAACCAACCAACTGACGTGCTGCCACGCTAGTTCAAACTTCAACGCGGGTAAAATTTATTACGAAAATTATACGGGATTGTTATTAAGGTTATTGTTTATATTGTTTTTGATTATATATATATAGCCTACGTACGTTTCTGCTACGAGCGTCCTTACGCAATTGTATTGTACGTCTTACGTCCTGCTAGCGCACTGTGGCAATTTTATAAGGCGTTACTGCAATGGCCATCGTAAAGTTGTAAAAGACGTAAATCTTGTCGGCCGTACACACATGGTTCATCAATTGGTAATCGGTCAGATCACGGGGAATCAGGATGCCTGCCTGCCCGAGTCACATAATTGTAGCTGGCTTGATGTCTTTTAAACAGTCGACCTAAATGCTCCTGTATTTTCTGTAATTTGGCTAAGCCTCATACGTGGATTCTGATCAAGTGCAATAAAAACCTCATCGATCTTACGGATAGAAGATCGACCTGCACGTGCTTTGTCTACAATGCTGCAATCACCACTTTGAAAACGAACGAACCACTTTTTTGCCGTCTTTAATATAGTATAGGGTCCATGTGCCCCATAGGTGGCAACCTTTTCCAAAAACGAAATTTCAAAACCAACCTTGAATGCACTTTTTTAAATACCCCATATTTGAGTACGACTGAATCAAACATGGTGTTAGACAAAAATTCGAAGACAGCTTCACATATATAATGACTACCTGCTTTTCCTTTTCCCTCAACTGTGTTTCTATCACCAAAAAATGCAAGGATTCGAAATCTCCTGCAAACTTATGGGACAACCGAATTCCATTTTCTGTAACAAATGCCATATACTAACCCGTGTGGAAGACCTTGTCGATGCAACACTTGGGTAAGGATCCACTTGAACGGCCGGGACGTGTAACATGGGGTTTTCTTGAACCTCTTCTACAGGAACTATTTGTTTTTCCACGTCCTGAATCTCTTGTTTAGGAGTCCTATAGCGACCTATTGCGTGAAAAATTGAACTGAGCATTGGCTGTCCTTCACCAACTTTAGCCTGAATGAAATGATAAGTTTCATCATTGCGAAACATAGGACTCAACATCTGAAGTATCAAAACAAGCATATTGGAAATTTTCGATTTAACGAAGAATAGGGTTTGATAGGGCATAACCACCTAGCGATGGCCTATAATTATATAACTTGAATCGAAATTTAAATACGAGATTGACATAAAATTTCAGTTGCTTCTCATTCAGTTCTAAGTAAACATTGGAAAAATTTATGTAAAAGTTGTATTCGTTATAAGCGGAAGTGACCTAACGCGTCTAGTACAGTGACTATTAAACGATAACTGCCGGGTCTATGTCGCTATTATTAAGGACTAAACTGGATTGCTAAGCGTCATCGGTCCGTTTTATAAGCACATGAATATGAATGTACCTGTGTGCGTGCCGGATTACAATAAAAGTCTAATACTTTATAAAAACAGCGAACAAATCACGTACGTTATGTATTACTAAGACATCCATAAGGATCTTCTAGTAGCCCACAAGCATTGTCTTACGTTTTGGTACTTGTCGTAACATGTTATCGATGTCTGCCGACACTCATGTTGCAGTGGCACGTATATATAATAATATATCTTCAATCCGGTCTTCCTTATCTTCAACTTACTGGTTCTTAGTATACTAACCTTCATTCCATAGCAGACTTTCAGGCTGGCTAATCCCACCACGCCTAGTCCTACGAGACCGAGCGAAAACAAGAAGGCCTCATTTGCTGCCAATTGCAAAAGTAGCAAAGCCGCTGTCAACCATCGAGAACTTTTCATCGTCTCTATACTGTTGTAATTCCTTAAGCCACTGCGATCAAAGGAGACAGACAACAGCGTTTTACCATAGAAAGTCCTCTACATGCGAACGAAGAGCTGATGCGATGATTTCGAGTTGGATAAATGACGCGTTGCATTGATAAGTTCTATGTTCGTTAAGTACTCTCCGGCTAAAAAAAAATTGATACATGGAGACAGCAGCTTAACAAACTACAATCTGGCAAAAATAACATGTACATTATGGGTATATATATAATAATATAAAATGGATATTTCTCATAGGCTCATACGTTTTTGATCACAGTAAGAAAATTAGTCATTGTAGTGTCGGCATCGTTCTTCTCAGATCGCTGAATGCCAAAGGTTTCAAGCTGAGACTTATGTTTGGCTACCAACATCACTACAAATAGATCAACATTCGGCACATTGAATAACATAGGAAAGATCCTTTTAATACCTGAACATTTTTGCCAAATTGTATAATTAACAAACCAACGAAAGTGAAACAGTCAATCTATGTAAATGCATGCGTCTCACTATAAGACAATACCTTGTAAATGGCCACTGGTAACAAAGGCCAGGACCAAGATATAGTTTGCTCACTTTTGTACCGTGTTCCCTCACCAGCGTTATGAGTAGTCGTTGAGCAAGCAACCTGAAAGCACGAAGGGATGGGGTTCAATAAAGCCTTCAAGAAAGCAGAATGAGCCGGCGAGCTTTCGGTTTTTTTTTTGGTGAATGATGATTGTAGCAATAATGACCATGTGTGGTCCAACTCATATGTAATCTGGTGGCAATCGGAATTGTTTCCAATCATATTTCAAACGAATTTCACTGGGCTCTACTATCGTATTAAAGGCATTACTCCTTCGACCAGGCTCGACAATTGCCCTGTTTGAGAAAACAGGAAGTCAGTTACTTCATTTTGGTAGAATTCAATATGCTTTGAAGATTGCCGAACCGTAGCAACTTGTCACGATTCACTCTTTTGTACGATTCAAACGTACATTTGGCAAGATTCAATATGGAAAGATGTCTACTAACCTGATCGTCGTCGAAACGTGTGCTGTGTATATGTGCGAACGTAAGCGGCCTATTTTCGGCGGCACAAGTCCAATTGCAGATGAAGTGGCCATTGGCTGCACGTTTGTATCGAGTCGACATGACGAAAGGGCGGCGTGCAGTGACGTCTGCATGCAATCAGCACGCACAAATGCTATACAACATGCATGCCGTTCTTCTAGCAAATCAATCAGATCTTCTTCTCGCCCAAATTATCCCATGTCTTTTTAGGTCTGAATCAGTTAAACGTATGTTTCATGGAACGAAAGTCCTGTAACAACCGAGAGTTCATATCGAGCCTATTATGCTGTTTCTATAACTAACTCTAACGCCATACATGAAAGTCTTTTAAATCGGGCGCTTTGCCATACGTGAGGAATCGTTATTAACGTGCGTGCCTAACGATGATCCCATATTATCTGATCAACTTTAGCTTTCTAGGGAATATCGTGCACTGTTATTTAATATGTATGTTAAACCGCTAACATTGCATGGTGATGAGGACAGAAGAGAAGCAAAAGTGTCTTGCAAACCAGTAGGAAGATTCCTTTAGTTTCAAGGATCTGCACAAGGACGTTGGTACCCGCAAATCATACGTGAACGAGCCCTGTATATATATATATACAGGACGACGTGTCTAAATAAAAAATGTTTTCTTTAATATGGGTCTATGTAATAACAACAAATATTTGTCACTCGTAACGGTTATGACTAATCAATAAAATTACTGTTTACTTCATTATTAGCTTCAAATATTCCTCGTTTGGTCCAAAGTTTCTTTAGACAGTTTTTTAATAGCAAAGCGTGCGTCGAGCGGCATTCGCACTTGTAGAGCGTCGCCCAAATATGCTACAGATAAACAAAAATTCAACGAGATTAAATTTTGGCCTTATAATAGGCCAAATGTCGCAAAAATGCATCGGCTCAAAACGGCCAATGAATACAGCATGAAAAAATGCAGGAAGTTTTAAAAAAGACTAATCGTTGAAACTTACCTAAACGACTCAATTAGCCATTGATATCCTCTTGTTCTCCAAAACTCCAATTCCAGATATATGAAAAATGGGCTTTTGATGCATTGTTGAGCCTCTAAATGTGGACCTCATTAAGGACTCTCTGGTTTACCCCAGGTGAAATGATTTTAGTTTCTTTTTACTAACGAAGAAAAACTGCCAATAGGTAAAATGTTAATCGTGATGTCCAGCGCCTTACCGTGATAATGGCTAGAGTAGAAAATATTCTCAGGCTAATTCTCCTACAATTTATAAAAGAACGAATTGAGACGGTTTCACTTATTCATTATTTTCTGTCCTACCTTGTCTGTTGCAGGGTGAAAGGCTTTCCTTAGAGCTGATTTATTAGAACTGTATCAATAGGCCCGAGAGGTATCCATCATCTCATTCAGATTCGGCATGGATAGACAGAGAGAGAGGTAACTGACTGCTATTACCAGGGCGTGTTTCAATACACACACAGCTTAATCTTGGCGCGCACTCGAAAGTGGTTTCCAGAAGGCGGTGAAATCTGTCGAGTGGACTGACTGGCAGATTGACTGAGATTTGAAGAAGGTAGAAATTAGGTTCGTTCTGATGATCATTCAAAGAGGCCGGCCACCTGTGTGTACGGGTCGTTCTCGGTGGCTTTAGATGACACCGCCACCTAACCACCATATGATAGGAAATTACCATCGATGCGACAATCAATGTGAACCCCTATGATTCGTGACTCAAACACGAACGGAATGAGGGTAGCTGAACCTCCATACATTGCATATGTCGTGTCAACACACAAATGAAGCATACGAGAGGAGGACAGCTGGCTTTTGCAGACGAGTACTGGGGAAGGGTGTTTTGTTGTTTAAAGCACTGCAAAATAAATATAGGATCCGCTTTAAACATGATTAGTTGTAGGAACGCCGTGAATCAGTGTTGATCCTATTTGTAATAGTTTGGTCTTATGAAGCATGTGGAGTTAGATAGGTGCATCGTGCCAAAGCGTCGCCGCGAAGCTCCCGGAAGTGAACATGCTTGCTCAAAAACTTGCTTGTTCTACATAAAAGAAAGCACAGAAAGCTAGAGTGCTGAGGACCGAAAATCACAAAACGATATAATGGACAAAATCAAGTACACGCGTTCTCAACTTGAAGTATTAGAGCTGAACTTCAGTAATGACGCGTACCTCAACGTAGAAACTGCGAACGATTTAGCAGCGCAGCTTAACGTGTCCGTTAAACAAATCAGGGTAAGCGTATAGTTGTATTTCGAAACACGATTGAGCCCTTAGTTTCGATGAAATAGCAGAACCGTATAAGACGTTTTGGCACATCTGTTAAAAGGTTTGCGGTAATGGAAATGAACTGCAGCGTATGTTGAACCGTTTTCCCACGAAATTTACTGGCATATATATATGCTGACATTGAAGCTTGAACACTGAGACACGTTTTGGTTTTCGTCATCTGCGAACAGAGGGCAAATTTCGCCTATATATATATATATACATATATAAACATACAAATTAAATAATTGAGCTCTGTAAACAGCAGCATCTTGTAGTTTGTTGAGTTGTCATCTGCTTGGCCGCTACGGAAGCCTATTCGCCATAATGAATCTACGGTAATGTCATGGCACTGAGCTCTTGCAGTAGAACTTAAATCCTAGAATGGGTTGAACGCCTGCTTTTATTGATAGGCGCAGATTTGCTCATTTCATTATGGTTGTTTTTGCTGTTTTTACTGTTTGTGTCCCGCTATGGTCAAGTGTAGCAGGACCGGTGTTATTTGTTACCTGCTTTATAGTCGCTGAACTAGCGTAAGGCGGAATTTCTATCGACAATTGTATCGCTCGTTGGATATTTGAATTGACAAATTGTTGTTGAAGCAAACTGGTTTGTAACACGCCCCGATTCCTCCACATCCCTATTAACACGTCTTCCAGGTATGGTACCAGAACCGCAGAGCAAAGCTGCGCCGAGATGGATACAGACAAGACCATTTCCTCAGTGTAAACAACACTTCAACGAGGTCATCGTGGGATTGTTTAACAGGTGGGAGATTATCATCGCGGTCGAACTCAAGATCTCCGACGATGCATCGAGCGCGCTCAGCTCCCTCTAGTCCAGTTCGTCCATACGACCGTTATCATCATCAACAGCATCCGCCATCTCCCATAAGCCGAGAAGCTACTAGTGAAAGCGCGTCGAACAGCTATGCGAACTCAACGTACGACAGTTCCCCGCAGTACTCGCAGCAAGCGTCCGCCGCCACGTACGACACAAGCAATTCATGGAATACGTGCGATTTTTCAACCACTTACTCAGTCACCCCACACTCCCCTAGTAACAGCAGTAATAATACCGCGTCAAACCTAACCCCGAGGCCACCAGCGAGTCCATATCCAGATACAGCATTTTGTCAACAGTTTAACTCCGTGCCGGCCATAGTGATCAATGATAACCAACACGATGAAGATGATCTAAGCGTGTACTTAGAGGAAAACGCCCGCGACGCCACGGACGCTTACCCTTATTACGGCCATCGGGAATGTACGGGTCGCAGCAAAAGTGCCGAGCCACTGGGGACTGCAAACGAAACCCAGATTAATCTCTATTATCAACCTAGAGATTTCAGCGGGCTTAGCACTAGCCATAGCTACGGCAGTTATTGGCAGAACCATGATACGTACATCAGTGACACGTGCAATGCGCCTGCTCGCTATAGTACGATGGCGACTAGTCCCACGGTACCATTAAATCATGCGTTCCACTCGTTACAGATGCGCGAAGCTCAGGAATCTACTGCATCTGGTCAAATACAGGGTCAGATTCAGGAACCAGCTGCAGCACATCAGACCACGCTTCGAGACCCCTCAACGTGTGCACAACAGTATCTTGCCGAAGAAAGCGTGAGCGGCGAAGAAGCGTTTATTAGGTCGCTAAACGAATTTTTTAACACTTAGAAATGAAATACAATTGAGATGACTGCTCGTTATTGCTTCTTGCTATAACCATATCCAGAATAATCGGTAAATACGTTCGGAAAGCCTAAACGTGAACACATTATCTATTAGAATGATTGCAAATACCGCGGCATACCATAACTCACTAATCAATTGTTACTCATACCATTATTGCTAAACAATCATTGATATTATTACTAAACTGCGTTCATTGTCATAGCTACGATCGTCATTGTTATTATAACCGTCAAATGTAGCTTTGTTCCCGTTGCCGTATGCGCCAGTAGGCAATAAGACTGCCAATTTTGTATATTCAGATTGGCCAAAAACGTTACTTGTCAACAAAAAATGATCTTTAATTGTGTCAGGTTGACCGATACCAATAGAGATCTAAATTTACCCAAAAGTACCGCAGACGGTCTGTTATTGTTCAATTGAGCTTATTTCAGGAATAAATTGAGTAACTCGTATCGAGTCATTACACCAACGTGTACAAGTGGCCTTTAATTATGCCGTTTAGATATTACATATGGTGACCTGCTGGTGGTCTCCATTGACGAGAGGGTGTTGCTTACTATAACTGGATTGTCAGTGGACATATAGATACATAAATAAACATACTCTTATTTACGCTAAAGTAGACTGACGTTCTTGGCGAATTTCATACTATTTATGTCCACAATACTATGTATAAAATAACGTAAGTGAAATTTTGATTTGTGCTATACATAGAAGGCAAGCATTTCATATAAGCTAACAGAAACAGGAACAGATCACTGGTTCATCTCTCTTTCATACGTTCGACATCGCCGTTACGCATTCTATCAGACGGTCAGATTCCGCCACGACACAGATACGTCTATACCCATATCCGAACCTAGACCACAGGGTGTCCCTAAAATCAACGTGCAACTACTTTCCGTGCACAAAGCTTTCACGGAAATCGTAGAGGGTCATCCAGTGCGAGTTTAGCTACCTACCTCAAGACCAAGTATCTACGAGAACAAAGTTTGTCTTTGTGTTTCAATGGCGACCATGCAAAAGAAACTCTCGGTTGCAAACTTCTAAATGATAATAGGACCGTTATGGGGGAACGGTCATTTCACCGTTATCCGCAGCAATTAAGCAGAGGAGAAGCACCAAATGCAATCACAGGAGATTCCGTCCAGATTTTGCTTTCGTCAGACACGATTTGCTTTCTAGATCATAACATCGTGAAGGATATATAGCAGATGATAGCAAATAATAACAATTTATTATATTTTTCATAACATGCTGAACGTGTATTGGGCATTTACTTCGCAAAGTTTTGAATCCGAATGATTGCATAATTTTTATATTTAGATATCAGTAATTTAGCTACCGTGTAACAGCGTAAGGTCTATTTTGACGATGCACGAAGTGTTTTCACTTAACTTGACGCTTACTTAAAAATAGCAAAGTATCTAGGCCAGACGTTCTAATTAGAGGGAAAAGAACTGAAAACTTCTACGTACACATCTATCGCCGCTGCCAAATGAAATCTCTGGACGGACCAGTGAACTTATTTTCAACTACCCCCTTGCTCTGTATTTTATTTCTCTACAAAACAAGTCAAAGTCGTTGCCGAAAAAGAGCAACTGGATAACTCTGTAGGTATTTTATCAGAACACCTTTAGCCGTCTCTTCAATTTTTTAAATATACTGATTAACAAAGATACCTGAAAAAGTATTGAGCTATTATTTGTGTAATAGGCACTGCCTGTTTTACCGCGGAAACGACAATTAGACACATAATAATTTAGTCTAAACCCTGCCAAAGATAATCGATATAAGCTTCTTTGGATCAAAAACCTTTGTTTATTTTCCACTTGGCACTTCTACTGGACATGGCAAACCTTCATCTCGCTTCAAGAAAGCGTAGATTTTCTTTTACTGAAAACGTGATGCTTTCTCAATTGTCGTATTTTAGCTCAAGTCATTTGGGTATAAATACTCCTATTCTATATTTTGTCTCCCCTTGACGAAACTGCCCACAACGCAATAACCAGCGAATGGTATTGAGAGCTCTAGCAGTTAAATGTCAACTATATTTTTAGTCGATCGGGTATTGCTAGTCGATATCAGTTTAGGACTTAGCACTGCGAAACTATCAGAGCAGCCATGACTGAGTTGTTCAGTACACAGTCTTGAAATACACTTTTCTCGAACGCGAAATTCGGGTTTACCGGTTGTACTTTTGTTTCATCTCTCACCCACTGATAGGTAACAAATGAAAATTTCTCTCAAGTCTGAGGTGTACATCTTGGCTCATTCACTTTAGTTGTAAAACTTCCTCAACTAGTTCCTTACAGCTTTCGGGGAGTTTCTTCCCTACCAAGCTGCATTGCGGAATATATTGCGGCAAGCCGAATACAACTCTTAATTTCTTAGTCAGGCAGACTTGTTGTTTTTATACCATGATAAAGTAATATTTTACAAAGGGTAATTCTTCTATGGTTCAAATTTACGTAGCTGCGACGATCTATTTGATCATAAATTTAATTACTCTAGTTTTTTTTTTAAATACATGTATTGCAATGTCTCATTTGATGCTAATCTTTGAATGATATATGCGGAGAATTGTTTAGGACCAGCTTTTAAACACCAATCATCGCGTGCTGTTTTCATCATACTTTACCCGTATGGAACAGGCTGGTGTTATACGACAGAATAAAAACAAACATTTTGAGCGTTTTTATTAATACAAATTACCTCTTTCGCAGTTTATTGGAGCCAATTAAGTTATTGTATTTGTTGTTGTACTGTTGCTCTCCGACGCGATAGGTTCATTTCTTGATATAATTCTACTGCTTTCCTAGCGTATATCGTCGGATTTTGATTTTTCAATATTCGCGCGCAAACGACCTTATCGCACGTGTTGGTGTCACGTTTCGGTCGCGTGTCTTCGAGATAGTCACGGAACCACGGCTGCGTTCTTCCTCTTTGCCAGTCACCTGACACGCTATTCTCAAGAGAATTGCCAGCAACGATTTGAGTACTATCAAATCGACCTGACCTTAAAAGACATGCACTGAGATTTGTCGGGAAAGACAAGACACGTGCCGCGTGCCATGAAGTGGATTTGTTAACATTGTTCACACTCGGCCGAGTCAGTGTGAGACTGACTTTTGACGACCCCAAGATTGGGCCAGCACTTGTTCAGCTCTGCCTCAAATTGGTCACTCCTACAAGCTTCAGTGAGTGCGATTGTGGCGAGCCAATAACGCTAGTGCTATTCGGATACGGCACCCCGTTCAGGACAACAATCGAATCAAAACCAATTACTTGGATCCGCAGTCTTTTCGATGCTTATACCCGTGTCGACACTCGTGCTTACATATTCAAGATTAAGTTCTATAATATAGCAATCTGACGCTGGCACCTAGGAGACCTTTCGACTAGGCTTTTCATCGCTTCATCATTTGGTCTACCTACATGCTTCAGCAACAGGACATAGCCGTCTACCTTCAAACAAAACTCCTCCGTGGTAACTCTTCGTCGTGATCGCAAGAGTGCTTAGGTTCCTAAGTTGGGGGGGGGGGGGGTCACTACACCTGATCCGCCTGAAGCTTTATTTTCGCGTATCGCAATCAAGTGTTCGTATTCGTTTTCGACTCCTGCTGGAAGGGTGTTTCGCTTCGGTTGTCATTTCTCTTCCTTACCTCTCGCTTTCCTCACTCCAGCCCGAGTATTCGCTCCCTCAGGTGTCGATTGAGAAAGCACTCATCGCGGTCGCCACACCATATAACAAATATAATCTATGTAACTAGCTCTATCGTGGCAAATCACCAAATCTATTCGCTTGCTAGCTCACTCACTGGGTGGCTAGTTAGGTGGCCGTAGTTGTCGTTCTGCCAATCGAGATGTCACAGGCGCGTTCGTAGAGCTTTCCTGCACAAGTGGAACTAATCCCAAAGAGGGGAAAAAGACCATAGATCCATCGTACAATGGTGATCTGATGATCCGCGCCCGCGCGGAGCGACCGGGAAGGCGGGCGAAAGACAAGCCGGACGCGAGCAGCAAACGAATGTTATCGACTGCTGGGACTTATGTGGACCACTTTTCTGCCGGCTGATGTGAGAGGACTTTCCCTGTGTTGGCCAATGTGCAACGGTCCGAGGGAGAGCGAGCGAGATGCGTGAGTGGAAGCTTAGGCCTAAGATCAGGTTGATAGGTATGGGAGCGCTGGACTAGGACGAAGCTCAAGCGGCACTTGGATAGATAGGGAATCAAAAAGGGGCTGGTCAGGCTTAGGAAGAGGCGCAGGTCGATTTAAAGACCTGGCCACATGGAAGTGAGAGCGGAGCAAACGCAGTGGACAAAATATTGTCCCACAAATTATATGAAGGCAAAGCATAAGTGAGTTTCAACGTCGTCCTAATTCGATTGTAGTGTGTCAAGAAGGCTCGGTTGATGGCAAATTGTGCAGTGGCTAGCGAAAAAGGCATGGCAATACGAGCACCAGATGGGTGCGATGAAATACAGCGTGCCAACCTAAACTGGAACCAATTTCGTGTTAATTTTTAATAACGATTGATTGAAAATTAAGGTAACATAAGAATTAAGGCGGTTTTGTCGTCTGCAAGTTGAAATGGTACTCGGCCTGATTAATGTCCACCGCATGCTTGTCCAACCAAGTCATAGTTAGCCCGCTTATGTTCTATCGAGCGACCTAATTGTACGGCCAACAGGGCCAATTTTGTCCGCTGCGACGATGGAATAGATTTGTTGGAATCAATCATTTGTTAGAACACGTGAACGAAATTTTGCCTTTAGTTGTCTAGCATCCAAGCGAATATCATTAGTCCAATGGCAAAAAGTTGGCTTCATTGATGACACTGGCACGTCATCATATCCTGCATGTGGTCACTGCAGACGCTGTTGTGTGACGGCTAATATCAATCGATGTTTGATCAGCCTGATTAGAAAAACTCACCATATCTCAAGAAAAAGTTAGTTTGTATTGTAATACGGGTAGTGTGTGTTTAGCGAAGTTATCACTAGAGCGCGCTGAGTAGAGTGGCCAAGAAACCATCTACAACCACGCCCCACAACTTATGGGTGGAGGATCAAATGGGCTATCAATCAGTGTGTAACAAAGCACAGTAATATGGGCGCAGATGATGACGAAAAATGAATTGGTAAAAACTTGTCGCTAGAAGAAAAGCTCCGCACGATTTGCCCGAGTTTCTAAAAAATCAACAACAATTTAGGCGACTGCCAGTATGGTGCCAACTGTTTGCCCTTTGCAGAGAACAAGCTGTAAAGGTAAGTTAGACTGAACTATTGATCGCATCTCAACATTAAACAATGATACACCACCGTAATGATTATAGCCTACCACTAACTATGGATTTATCAATAAATGTAGATGAATAAAAAAAAAAAAAACAAATACGTTAACGTATCATCATCATCATCATCAAGTCGAAAATACGTGAAAAAAAAATCTATTCTATTTACAACTGATCCTGACACCCAGAGCAACATCGACTATGACTAAGTGTTTCGTTTGTAATACTTTTCTCTATTATGTACCGCGTTTTCCAGCAAAATATGCCGTG